TGGGTCAAATTCAACCTTGAGTCCTACTTTTTGAGGAATCTCCACACTGATTTCCACAGTGGGTGCACCAGTCTACACGCCCACCAACAGTGGAAAAGTTTTCCTTACAACCTTACCAACATTTGTTTTTGGTTGATTTCTTGATAATAGGCATTCTTTCTGGAGATGAAATCCCAGCATTGTTTTAACTTGCGTCTCTCGAATGACCACTAATGTTGAACGTGTTATGTATGTGTGTGTGTGTGTGTGTGTATATATATATATATATATTGCCTTTTATACGTCTTCATTTGACTTCATTTGAGAAGCATCTATTCATTTCAGATGCCCATTTTTAGGATTGGGTATTCAAATTTGAGGGGTCTGATTTTTTTTTTTTAGATCTTTGTATATTCTAGATACTAGTCATTTGAGTAACAGATAGATGGCAGAAATTTTTTCCTCACACTGTGGGTCTGGAGGGTCAACTTCTAATCACACTCAGAAGGCTATGGGAAGGAGATATGTTCCATGTCATGTGTGCCTTTCCACGGGACTGCTCATGACATGACAGCTGATCTTTCTTTGAACAAGTGATCAAAGAGAGAACAAAAAGCAGGACCAAGATGGAAACCACAAGGTCTCCGATACGCAAGCTTCACCATGTTCTACCAGCCACGTAAACCAAACATAATGCAGTGTGGCAAGGACACAGAAGGATGTAAACACCAGGGATCACTGGGGACATCTTGCAGGCTGGTTACCACTTCCTTTAAAAAGCTTTCCCAAGAAATGCCATGGTCACTCTTATTTCTTCTTGCTTTAATTTTAGATTAGGCAGGAGACTTTGAAATGATAATGTTTATAATCCACCAGTAAAAGAAAGGCATCTGAGCACAAGATGAATTCCTGGGTCTGCTGGCCACTTGGAAAGCACGTGCCTTCACATGCCTGAGAAATCCACAGCTGACTTGGGTAAAATCTTGACTATTAAATATTCCAGCACTGTACTTCCACAAAGTGCAAAGGACAGAAGTTGTCTTTCTATATTAACAAGTAAGAATGGTTAGTGGGTAAGGCATAGTTTACTGATCTGTATTTATGATGGGGTCTGGCTAAAAGGAAAATAAATTGCAAGAATAAACCATACAACATGGGAAGCCTAATTCCAGCAGGAAGTAGCTTTGAAATAACATCATACTTCACTCACTCCCCAACTGATGTCTTTGATGGCTGGTTTGGATGCCAATGAGATGTCCTGTCACCTGCCATATTGTATTTTCTTATAGTGTGGTGCTCACTGCAATTGCCTGCTCTCACAGCAGCCTCTGCACTCCGATTCAGCTGTGCCTTGCCTGCTGCTGTGGGCTACATTTCTTACCCATGTACAGGTACTTAGGGGTCTTAAAAGATTCCTAAAAAGTATTTTTCTTGCAGAAATATAAAGAACAATAGCAAGAAAGGTCCCTTGATGGCTCAGAATTTATTTTATGTACTTACTAATTGGTATACTTTCTCCCCTGTTTGAAGGAAATATTCTGTACCCTGAAACAAGAAAATAAGTAAAGACATGTGTCTGCTTTAATATCTTGATACTGTTTGAGTCTCTGTAGTCCTTTTCCATGCTTTCTGGGTAAAGGCCGCTTCTGTTCTCTGGCCCGACTGCACTTTGATGTCTGAAGCAGTGCCTTTTGGTTGTAAATGTATGTGGTGCCTTTGATCTAGTACTTAGCTGGTCTTATTTAAAATAGATAGTTTCTTTTATCTAAGTACTGTTTACTAGGCCTTTCCATCTATGAAAGATGGCTTAAATTGCTGTTATTTAGATAGAAAGTTGTCTCTTAAGAGTGCTCCCGTCTGATTCTAATTCTCTACATTCTAAAACCACACTAACTCTGGTAGATTTTTGTAAAGCTAAATTACTATTAAAATGAGCTGCTGTTACAGACATCAGGTAATACTTGCAAAAACTTTGCTTTTTAATGGCAGCTGATTTTTCCAAAGACTTATAAACATGTCCTACATAGGCAAAATGGTCATATTAGAGAATCTAGACATAATAGCCAATTATACTTCTGAAATCCAGATATTAATTTACACTTAGGTTACCACACAAGGCATAATAAGATCTTTTAAAAAAGAAGCATGTATACTTCATTCTCTTTAAGATAATTTCTTAAGCATTATAGTTGGTGCTTTAATGACTTATTTGTGGGTTTCCTTGGTGGCTTTCAATTATTCATTCAATAAACTATATTATAGGGCCAGGGAACCTAAACTTTGCCACTAAGGGTACTCACCAATCTGGACATGAAAGGCCAGCCAGACAGTAGAAAACAATGACACTGCAGTGTTGTCACTGCCCCTCATGGACACTGCCCTTGGAGCCTGTCCTTAAGAATGGTCAGGGAAACTTCCTGGAACAAGTGATGTACAAACTTCAGTGAAGGACTTCTGACTCAGAATACAGCATGCTACCCCATGCTTCTCACCCCAGCTTACAGCACAAAGTAAATCTGTCTATTCAGACCCAAATCTTGTAAGAGGCCTAAAGCTGCACCCAAAGTCCAATGTTTGTCAATTGCTACCAAAGAGAGAAACCCCAAACTGTTTTCCCCATGTGTATTTTAGAATTTCAGATCTATTTCTCACTTAGGGTTGTGTTGGTCAGCTTTTTGTTGCTGTGACAAAATACTTAAGAGAATCAACTTAGGGGAAGGAAATGTTTGTTTTGCTCATGGTTTCAGAGGTTTGAGTCCATGATCAGTTAGATCTGCTACTATGGAGCCTGCAGGAAGCATGCTACAAAGCATGACAGAAAGAGAGACAGGGAGACAGACAGAGAGAAATCTGGAACTCCAACTTATCTCTCAGAGGCATATCCTCAGTGACCTACCTTGCTTCCATTAAATTAAATTTCCTTAAGGTTCAACTATGTCCCAGGAGTGCCACAGGCTAAGGATCAAGCCTTTAACACACGGGGCCCTTGGTGAGCATTCAAGACCCAAACTATAGAGTCAGGCATGGTGGCACACATCTTTAATTCCAACACTTAACAAGCTGAGTCAAAAGATTGCATCTGAGTTGAGGCCAGCCTGGATTATGTAGAGAGCTCAAAGCCAGCATGGACTACATGTGAGATCCTGTCACAAATAACCCTCCCCCCAAAAAAATGTATGCAAGCACTGTGTTATTACCTAAAATAGCTCCTTCTGCCTTTCATTGTCCTGTATTGTTAGGTTTTGGAAAGATTTGTTTCTTCATTCTTCTTAGTGTGACATTCTTGCCAGTTTAGAAGTCATGTAATTACTTCCTACTGGGAACTGACCATAGTCAACTACATGATCATTATGATACATTGTTCCAACTCTTTTTGGAGATGTGGGGAGGAAATTAGAGGAGACCTGGAACTCAAGCTAGGTTTGTGGAGGAGTGGAGGAGATGTGAGCCTCTGGAGGACACAAAGGCGCATGCTTGGAGTGTTCCTGGGACCTGGAAGAAATGGTCAATGGAGGGCCGATGGGATGGAGTTGGGGATTTGCTAAATGCAAGTGGAGGGATTTGGCTGTTTCCTATTGGTGATCTAGAGCTCTTGAAGTAGAGAAGTTGCAAAATGAAGTATAAAAATTTTTGGTTACCTTTCTTCTTCTTTCATATAAGTTACTAAGCAAACCCCAAGAATCATGCATATTAGGCAATAGGATCTTCAAATGAGAAAAATTAGGCCTCAGATTTCAAGTGGCCCAGATCTAGCCACACCATGGTGGAGTCACACAGTGACAGCCTGGTTAAGCCATTGACCAGAATCTGGGCCTTCTCTTTTTTGTGACTTTTCCCCACTAGGAATCTTTGAGTCTACAGCCCTAGGTTCAATGGAGCCTAGAAGAGAAAAGCCATCATACAATGGTGCCCCCTAAAAGGTGAAGACCCTAGGAATAGCTTAGGTCTCATCTAAGCTGCATCTCTCTCTCCCTGGGCCCCCAGGATGCCAAACCAACAAGAATGTGAAGAATGGGAATAATTAGTTCTTAGAAAAAGAAACAGAGGGGACAGAAAAATTAGAATATGTCATGCAGACCCATGTGCCCAACTGGAAAGATAAGCTAGGAATACGAAGCATGACAACATATTGGGGAACACTGAGCAAGTTTTTAATTAGTTATTAATCATGGGTTGTCTGCAGTCTCTAACACTGAGAAAGCCAAATGCATTGTAAACTATCCAAACTGCCTGGACTATGAGCAAAGTAGAAAGATAATCTCAAGAAAATCAGACAGCTGCTACCAGAAGGAAGGTGAGGAATGTGTGCTGGACAAGCAAAAACAGTAGCTGTTAACAGCAGCCCTTGGAAGTAAAAATGTATAAGACTGGCACATTCCTGGAGAAGGGTCCTATGTGCTGATGGCCTCAGTGCTCCATCTCCATTAACTCCATTAACTCAATCTTAATCTCAACCCTCTTATTATTCACATTTCACAAAGGAAGAAACTGAGGCACAGCCTGACTCACCTGGACAAGATCTTAAAGGTAGCAGATACCTTAGCTGGAACTTAGACCCTAGCAGTCTGACTTTAAACTCATTTTTATTGTTCTAATTAAATTATCTGGTGTGTCATATAACACTGCACATTATTGTAATATAAGTAATTACTGCCATGAGTATCTCCAGTTTGTCTGGTTTTTTTCCTCCTAAATAAGGATTTCAGGATGGCACTGATAATGAATGTAAATAACCTAGCATACAATAGTAGCCATTGTTATTTTATTATTATAGCATGCAAAATCTTTGATCTATGACTATGAAATAAGACCAAAAGCAATTGAAGATAACAAGACATCTGTATGGTCTCTAGTGCTGAGAGAAAAATCTGCAGGATTTTCAGGGAGATTATCAATGGGTTTGAAAGAATAGGTAGAGTCAATAAATGTACGACTAGAAATGTCCAGAGACCCATTGAAGCAAGGATGAAATGGAAAAGGCTGAATCCTGTAACGACTCCTTTTCTCCTTCCCTTCTCAAGTGCTGCTTAAGTAGAGCTGAGGCCAGGAGGGATGCAGCCAAAGTGGCCCTAATCAACTCCCTCTTCAATGAGCTCCCCTCACGCAAGATCACCAAGGAGTTCATTATGGAAAGTGTGCAGGAAGCAGTGGCCTCCACCAGAGTGAGTATCCACAAGCAAGGAGGGCGGGTGCTGTGAACACTCAGGCATCTGAGTTCTGGGTGATGATACAGTGAGCAAATTCTGAATTCAAAAACACATGGGTTACATTTCTGCCCATTAAATCATTAGTTTTCAGCACAAAATAATACTTGGATTGGAAGTCATAAAACTGGAAATTGTTCCCCACTCTACACCTCAGTCATAGTCTTATCTTTCCTGAATCATAATTAATCAGGCTTTAAATTGAGGTAGATAATTTGATCCAACCTGATTTGTTTATTTGAAAGTCTGCCTTTTGAGGAGTGTTGATTCTTTTAAGGCCTGAGAATGCAAATAAGTGAATGATGCTTTAATCTAGTGGTAAATGAGCTCCATTTATCCCCAACTTAACTAATCATAAAAATTATTTGAGGTACTTACTGGGAAAGTGCCAATTACCCAGTAGAGTAGGGCTCTACAGTCTGCATTTTAAAGGAAGCACTGACTCTATTCATCCTGATTTGTGTGAGTTATTTGAATAATTGTGGTTAATATCAACTTGCTTCTTTCAGAGAGCATTGAAAATTTCTGTAATGGACACAGTTAAACATACAGTACTTTAAAAGCAAAAAGTCCCATGTCAGAATTTTAAATAGAACATTTTTCAGCACACCAGCAATTCTGGATTATTTATTTGTCCAATAAATGATGTGAAGCTCCCGATCCTCCAAACTTCAAGCCACAAAGGAAGCCCGGTCCCCATCCGTGACAGGTGTTTCCCTGTACACGCTCACAGGGAGATTTGGCATGACTTCAGGGAGTAGCTGCCTCTGGTCTGCCCTTAGCATTTGATAAACCCTGAGGTTCTCCTTTCCTGTTCCTTTAATAAAACTAGAAAATTCTGTCTCTCTGGAGGAGCTCCTGATAAGGAAGGAGCCATCATTTGACTATCATGAGTCTCTCCTCATAAATGCTCTTATCACTGTCAGGAGAGATTGCAAAGGAGCTGAGAAAGGAGGGTGGTTGTCCTACCGGGGGAAGGCAGGGAACTCTGCTCTGTATCTGGTCTGCAGATGAAAGGAAGCCTTTATTTTCTGGCCCTGTAAATTTCAAGTGCCTTTGAGGAAGAGAAGTTAGGAAAATGATGCCTGATTTATATAAGTGTGGAATTTACTCCAGAGCAGGGAAGGGCCCTCAGTGTAAATGTAATTTATCATTTTTTTTTCATGGAAATTTCTAAGGAAAGAGAGTATGTATGACTTGCAAGCTTCTGGGTGGATTTCCTCTGGGATATTTAAAAGGCCAACATAAATATTTCAGCAGCAGTGTGTTAATGTTATTGCATTCAAAAGCTATAAATTTGCTGCTATTTGATGCTGCCAGTTGTTTGTTCAGTCTCACAGAGTTGCTGTGGCCCAACTTCCCAAGAATCCAAAGCCATGGGATAGTGAGGAAACCTAGATGCCATTCCAGAGCTTGTGCTAGCTTCTTGCATTGCTCCCCACAACCAAACTGAAAGGGTATTTCATTTCTACTCATTACACACACACACACACACACACACACACACACACACACACACACAACTTGTTTCCTAAAGATTAAGTAGTTGTAGTCAGGGTTTGCAAGGCAATAGATTTAACACAGGACACAACTTATAGGATTATTTTGTAATATTCACCCAAAAAATTAAGTACAGAGGAGCATAAGAGATCTTCCCACATGCTAGAGACCTGAAGAATCCAGCTGAGGGCCTGAATTCTACAGCGATGTCCTTCATGAGTCCAGCCAGAGGCCTAGAAACCATGACACTGTTCTATGCAAGTCTATATGAGGGATCTGCACCAGGAAGGTACAGTGGTGGAGGCTAGAAAGTCTAGACCTGTGGGGTAAAGGATCTGTGTCACAAGGCTGGGGGATCTACACCAGAGCCAGGAAGTGACACTTAAGGCAAAGCTCCTTCGAAGAGAATAGCAGCCATCTCCAGTGATAGTGAAGAAAATGAGACAGCTGAGTTTACATTAGGAGAACCAGAGCAGCAAGCATTCCAGGAGGATCAACAGCATACTATCTTTCCTTACAATTCTCCTTCTATGCTGTTGGCAACAATCCTCAGGTGACACTTTCACACCCAGATCCATGTTGATTTGGTTCATCTGGGTGTCACAAGCTGACCATTAGCTAATTCACCACGTGGTCCAAGAATAGAGAAAATATATAATTGAAATCTGTCTCCTGTCTTGGTTATTTTTCTCTCATTGCTGGGAAAAAATACCCAACACCCAAAGTTAAAGGAGGAAAGGTTTATTTAGCTCATTTATAGAGTTTTTAGTCCATAATCAGCTAGGTCCAAGGCAGAAGGCATGGCAGAGGGGCATCACAGAGGAGAAACAGCTCATGCCAACAAAACAGACAGCAAAAGCAAGCAAAGGAAGAGAGAGAGGGTACAGGTTCCTTTGGTCCTTATATTGCCTGCAGGTTACCCTTCCTAGAGAGGATGTAGCATTCAGTTTGCCTTAATTGCAAACTCTAGATTTAGCCATCACTGAAAAGCCTGACCTTATGACTGCATGAGGTTTTAGGGGGACATCTAGACACAAATCATAACATCTTTAGTGTAAATATCACCCATATGATAAAAAGTTATGGCAGTAAAATACAAATGGTCCATACAACTGCAGTCTTCTTTCCATGTGCATAATTTTGCCTATGTATCATTGAGATTAGATCATGATCAGTATTTCCAAATTTCAGTTAGCCCTAACATCACCACCAATAAAAACCCGGTGCAATGTTAAAAGGAATTTCTGTGTGAGAATAGTTATTTTAACAGCAAAGTATATGCTCTATGAGCATTCTAATCAAAAGATAAATTCAAATTGATTATGGGATCCTCTTTACCCGGAGTCATGGTGAAATCTGGAATTTTACACAACATCAACTGGAGACTTGAGTGTAGAGTAAACCATAAAGGTTAGGCAAGCAATGGAAAGCTTATTGTGGCCACAGGATTTACCCTTGATCACCCAGAGAAAACATCAGTAACACTTTCTTCTTCTGTTGTCCCCAAGGGCACTTTAGATGATGCGGATGACCCCAGCACAAGCATCGGCGCCTATCACTACATGCTGGAGTCAAACATGGGCAAGACCATGCTGGAGTTCCAGGTACCTGGCTTCTGCTATGAGTTTATCTGGTTACCTAATTTGGAAACAGGAAAACTTACCACTAACATCTATTCCAAAATAAGCTTTTTATTTCAACCCTCCTAGAATCCAGCACGGTAATGCTATTTTAGTTATAGTTCAGTAAAATAAAAGAGAGCTGAGTGTGCTGGCACAAGCCTGTCATCCCAGCACTCTGGGAGGCTGAGCCAGGAGGATTCAAATTCCAGCCCAACTTAGAGACTTACTGAGACCCTGCCTCAAAGTTTAAAAAAAAAAAAAAAAAGGCCCTTGGTTTGGTTCAATCCCTGGTACCTAAAAGTAAAAATGTAATACAGTAAAATAAAAGCAACCAAACAGGGCACAAACTTTGTTATAACAAAGAAAAGTAAAGTACATACGTCTAAGAAAAAAGGAAGCACCACAGTCTTAGGATGCTAAAACAGTTCAGCATTTCAGTACAAAGTTCACTATTAAACCAAATCAAACAGTTGTGACCATCTGGTTTTTAATTTATAAGAAGTCATAGATGAAAGTTCCCACATTAATTGAACAACACTTCTTTAGTTCCGGTATTTCTACTAAATGAAACCTGCTTCCTCCTATCATTAAAAAACAAACAAAAACAGCCCAAAAAAGAAAAGAAAAAACACCGTGTAATCCTTTCACTGTTGAGTGTTGAGAAGCTACTGTACCTCTACATAACTCATCACAGATGGTCCTGAATTTATAACGTTTCGACTTTACGATACTGACAAAGCACACCATTCTATTTTTCTATTTCAGGTCTGTTATATGAGGTATACAGCACTTCATTATAAAATAGGTTTTGTGTTAGGTGATTTTGTCCAACTTCAGGCCAATAGAAGTGTATGAATATGTTTAAGGTAGCCAACAATGAACCAGGATGTTCAGGTGGTTAGGTGTATTGAATGCATTTTTGACTTGATATTTCCAACTTACAATGGATTTATCAGAGAATATCCCCATGGGCAAGCAGAAGTTCAGCTGCATTTGAAAAACCAATAATTATATGGATAACAGTCATATTAATCAGTAGGGCTTATTAGATGCTTTCTTTGAAGTGATGCTTGATATTTAATGTTTTGTCATAATTGATTACAACCAAGTGAATTAGATTTTATGACATTACCATGTTAGTGATTTTTTCCAGTATCAGATTCATTTTTTACCTTATAAGTCTTTATAAAGTTAATTATCACATATACTGATTAACAACCAGTTAAATAGGCAAAAATAAAAAACCATATATAGCACATCAGACAGTTATACTAACTCAAGGCATACTCTTATTACTGACAGAAGTTTGTCATAGCTTAATAAACAGCAGAGCCAGCATTCAACCCTGGGTACTCCAATCACTGAGCTCATACAGTGGACTCTTTGTCAGGTTGAGCAGATAAAAATGGAGTGGTCACTGGAGAGGGAATGTGTGTCTCTCTGAAACACTAAATCTGGATGCAGATGAACATCCAAAAACATGTAATGTTGGTAGAAATCAGTATGTAATATAATGGTTGCCCTTGGTGATGGGTATTTTCTTAGACTCCAAGAAGTAACCAGAGATTATACTTAAATCCAAGAAAAACCCAGAGACATAAAGTTTCATGACCAAGAACATTCATCATGATATAATTTACCATCGTGTGGCAGTTGAGAGCTGAAGCCACCAGTTTTCAGATGCCTTGCTGCATCCAAGTCTTGGCGTAGTCATATGTTCTTTCTGCTCATCTTTCAAAAACTGATGTTCCTCTGTATTCATCCTGCGTATGATTGAAAATGCTTTCTCCATTCTGCATCTTGATCTCCATCTTGATCATTAATGCACTCTTTAGGTGGAGATGGTCTCCCTGACCTCTGATAAAGCCTGTCTTGGTTCATGAAGTGAACCCTCTGCAGTGGGTTCTGGCCCAGGCTCTGGAGTGGACTGGCTAGTTTTAGCCTCCATTTCTGACCTCTAAATCTTTTTTCCTTGTTTGTGTGTAAATCAGGAAAAATAATAGTAGAACCTCCCAGGGCCAGGGTGAGAATTCATGGAAGAACCTCGACCAGTGGTGGTCACATGCCATGGTGGGCTGTCTGTATCACTTAAAGCTCTCACAGACAATCCTGCCATATGGTACTCATTCCACAAAGGGTAATGATCATTAAGCTATGTATTTCTAAGGAGACAAATGGCACAAAAGAAAATACATTTCAAAATCATACTGAGCTATGTATGAGCCCCCTTACCTCACTTGCCACCTGTGAGCTTGCCCATTCAGAGATTGTTTTTGTATCTATGAAACAGAAATAATAATGTTTACTTATAGGATTAAATAATGTGACTTTTATAAAGCAGAAAGCATCATCCTTCCGGACAGGAGGAAAATCGTTTATCTTAATTCCTCCTTTTACATGCAATCAAAAGAATACCGTACTTCTTTTATTATTTATTGTTAGACCTGCCCTACTGCGATTGCTTGTATGTGACTTAGTAGCTATTCTCAGAAAACAACGGCTTTTGAATATCAATGAGTTAGTCTGCCAAAGATGAATAAGGTGAGAATAATTAATAATAATTAATCATAAAGTGTTATTAAAATTCCTTCCAAGAACTATGAAAGGCTCCCCTCAGCCTCATCAGAGTCATTACCTTGGGTCCTGAGTATTCTGTGAGGGTCTCCTTTGAAAGGTATTTATGCATGTGAAATAATAATTTGAATCATACTAAGATGCAGAAATGCCTCTGAAGTTCTCATAAAGCTACGCTGGGTTCCAGATGGGGGCCAAGGAAGAAGATAAACGGGCAGGGAAAATCCAAGCCTCTAATCTGCAGGGGAGGAGAGACACACCACAGTTCAACAGGAGGTTTCAGGAGCCTGGCTTTTGGCTCCTCTGCCCACAGGGTCCCTCCGCAGGGCAAGCGGTCCTCGGTGGCCTGAGCTCCGTGCATGTTTGTGTCTGCACTTATTGACCACTGACCCCAGACTTGAGCTGCTTCCGTAGGCACAGCTGCCTGGCAGCCCTGGTGGGTCCTGGCCGCATGTATATCCCCTGATGGATGATTACACCGTGGGAAGCAGGGTGGCGTCTCCCGGTGGCCCTCAGGCTTGCTCAGGAGGGTCCTGCAGGGGTGGAAATGCGATAGGCCTCTGCTTACCTTGGCGTCGTGGGCGGGAAGCCCAGCTGCTGCTTTGGGGGGTCCTGCCTGTACAGATAACTGCGGGCCGCTGGGGGAGGGATGGAAGCAGCAGGCGCTGGGTCTCGTCAAGGTCAGAGTCTAGGCAGGCTTTGACTGAAGCCGGATAATATATTTATTTTGAAGCCTAATGCAATCCAAAGAGGAGTTGTTTATTTACATCTTTGCTAAATTCTCCAGGTCACCTTTTAAAACCTCATCCCATAAACAAATTTCCTTTTAGATCCATCCTCTTGGGTGGGGAGATGGTGCCCACCTGTTTTTCAAGTTCTCCGTTTACAGTGTTTGTTTTTCTTATTTCTGATGAATCACAGAACCAAGCCAGTCTCCCGGACAAAGTTCCGGAGAGAAGCGGTGGAGGCTTTTCTCCCCCAAAGTAGCTGAAAAGCCAAACACTGTGTCTCCCAGGAGGCAATGCAAGGCAGAGCCCTGAGGACAGAGCCCGGTTGTTGCCGGTTTAAACACAATGAGTGACAGAATAAGCCAGGAAACCTGCAGAATGAGACCTGCAACTGCAATTTTATTTTCCATTCGATTCTAAATTTACTTTGCTGACCAGCTATATATTTTGCGGAGTTCGATGTAAAATAAAAATGCAGAGGCTTTTGTTCAAAATCTATTAAGAGCTGACCATGGTGGTGCAGGCCTATGATCCCACCTCTCCGGGAAGCAGAGATAGGAAGGTCCCAAGTTTGAGCCCACTCTAGAGTATTTAGTGATTTAGCAAGACCCTGTCTCAAAAAAAAAACCAAAACAAAACAACCACAAAATAAAAAATTTAAAAATAAATAATGGCTAGGGTGGGGAGGAAGTACATGGCTAAGGCTTTTGGTTCAATTTCCTGTAAAAAACTGAACTGAGAATAAAAAGCTAATAAGAATCTCAGTACTGCGGAATAGTAAATCAAGTTCGGAGTTCAAACACAGGCCTCAAACTCCTGGAGCAGAGTTGCTGAGACTGACCCAGCAGAAGGACCTAGACTGTATTCACAGCCCAGTGAGGGGTCACTTGGTTCTGACACAAAATTAAAAGGCACACTGAACAACTTGGTGGTCAAGATAGATAATATCATAATACAGTAGGGCAATAGCTCAAAATTATTGCAAAACATACCCGCTTAACAAAACATCAGCCTTTTACATAAAATCCCTCATCCTGCACGCACCGCCCCGCAGCTCATCTACACCTTTCCTCTGCACCTCATGCTCGAAGGCCGGCTTTGCAGTCTGCTGTCCACCCAGCAGGCTGCAGGCTCCCAGGTTCACCCATGACACAAACATCACGGTGCAGAGACTGCGGCGCACAGCAAGGCCACCCTTGGGGACAGACACTCAGACCCCCACAGAGCTGCAGCTTCTCCAGGAAGAAGGCCAGATGGTAAATCCAGGCAGCAGGGCTGACAGGGAAAAGTAGGAGCCGGTACCTCCCAGGGGTTCAAGGCCCCTCTCTGCCCATCACAGTGACATGAGGACTTCCTGGGGCTGACCGCAAGCTCAGATAGCTGTGGACAATTTGAATATAGTGAATTTGGTCTTGGAAGGGAAAAGAAATGGGACCAGAAGTACATGGAAAAACATGGGAATATGGAAACATACTTTATGTAATGATGATGTAATATGCTTTGATATCTCTCTGAGTAAGACAACAACCACATATAAAGTAAGAGAGTGGGCAGGAGGTTGTCTTCCCTAGAGAAGTTTAGGGACCAGAGCCACTCTGAGGGGGAGGCAATGTTCTGGAGACCACCACAATGCAAGTCCCTTTGGGGAACTCTGTGAGTGATGAGGGGTTGTCAAGGAGCATAAGAAAGGTTCTGGTTCTATTCCTGTGTAACTACAGACTCTAGAGTCTTCGGGGAATTGGAGGGGAGGGTGGAGCAGCAGTTCAGGCACAGGTTACCTGCATTCCTGGCACTCTGGGAGACTGAGATAGGAGACTACAGGTTCAAGCCCAGCCTGGTCAAGTTAGGGACTTACAGCAACCCTGTGTTAAAATTAAAAAAAAACAAAATAAAATATAATATAATATAAAAAGGGCTAGGAATGTAGCTCAGTGAAAGGGGCCAGAGTTCAATCCCCAGTACCAGATGTAGGGGGTACAAAAAGAATAAGCTCAGAGGATCTTAATGAAGCAAGAGTACAGTTTTAAGGCAACAACTGCCAAAGGATGGATTAAGAGCTCTGTTAACAATAGGCTGTTTCTCAAGTAGGCCAGAAAGTTGGCTGGACAGTGCCAGGGTGGGTACGGGCAGCTACATTTCAGATATAGCTGTCAAGTTTGCTAGGGACTGAGGAGCTGCTTAGTGGTAGAGGGTATGCCCAGTCCGCATGGGCTCCGGGATCACAAAACAAACACACAAACTTTCCTTGAAAATTTTAGAGAGGAGATCAAGTGAAAGAACGGGGCATGTATTTTCTTTTTTAAAAAGATGGGCTATACAAAGGGGACATAACATTTTTACAAAACATGAAACCCAAAGAAATTTCTTATTTGCAGATATTGGGTCTCCTATTTCTTCATAGGTTTTGTTCTGGCTACAGAACGTACACTGGGTAGGTTTGGGGGTTGTGGTGGGAAAGGGAGCACCAGTGTGCCCTCCTGAGCGCTGGGCTACTTCAGGGACAGATTGCGAGGCACAGAGGCGAGAGCTCAGTGAGTGGAGGTTCAGTTTAGGGAATGAAGCTCTCCCCCTTTTCCGTATTAGTATTGTGACGTGATGTGGTGAGAACCTGGGGAGGGTCAGGGAGAAGAGGGGCAGTAAGAAGGCGGATTCCTGGGACTTAGACCCAGGGCTCTGGGCAGACAGTAGGGTCTCTGTTTCCAGTGGAGGGAGCAACTCAGCTGAAAATCATGTTGTATTTTAATTAATGGAAACACATGATTTTACTTTTACTGGGCGCTCTTCAGGTTCCCGGGGTGCTTATCATGCAGTGCAATATAGACAAAATGCTAAACTTGATCTCAGGTGGTTGAGAAGAGAAGCACTTAATTGGATGGCAGTTTTAGACATGAGGATAATACTGTTTGTTCTTCTGATGATCTTATAGTTTTCACTTTACTGGGTAATTTCCAGATGCCTTTAATTTAAGCCCATGCATCTCCTGATTCTCCTAATGAAAACTTTTTCCTGGACAGGCAGAGATAAAGATAGTTAATAAAAGTCAGCTTTGGGGACAGACACTAGGATACTATCTAAATTTTAAATTTTCATAACTATTGCCATGAACAGGAAGTTCCTTAATTATATTTAGCTATTTTCCAACAATTATGCAGTTTGCGCCATTGATCCTTAATAGATATTTTCTGACAAAAACAGAGACAGAAATACAAGAAACAAGGAGATGGACCTTTTGCAAATGTGTAGGGGACCAAGCGATGGAGGGAGGGAATGGAGGGGAGAGAGAGGGAACATAAAGTGAATTAAGATGTGTTACATACATGTACCAGCTCTCCTAGATGAATGTGCTCATTATGTACTGCAAACGTACTAATTAAAATAATTTTTTTAAAAAGTCAGACAATGCCTCTGTATGTGAAACTCAAGTAAATTCAGTAGAGTGCTGCTAGCTCTAACCACATTAGGAAAATAAAAATCTCTGCCAGGTTGCTACACCTTGGCTTGCCCTTGATCTCAGGCAGGAAAAGGAAAAATTGAGCCCGTAGGAGTGCTGTTATGCTCAATGCCATTAGATGTGGAAACCAGCGATATGTTTTAGTGTCAATATAAGCTTATTCACCACGTTTTGAGGCCTTTTCCTGGATTGAGTTTATAAATTTATGGTTTCTGTAGTTTGTCCATTATATGTTCTTTATTGTCAAAGATAAATTTAAAATAAATTTAGAGAATGAGTTGGCTCTTATTTGTGATTGTGGAATCAAGGAAGCCCTTATTCCATGAAATAGATTGAGTGCTCCAGTGAGTCGAGCAAAGGGAGCTGGATCTATAGGCAGAAAAGGGCTGAAGAAAGCAGAAACAGAAGAAAAAGTTACTTTGCTTGTTAAGGGTAACTCAAAAGGGATTTCTATAGCACAAGGCTAATGCTGTATTTGGCTGGGTGTGTGTGTGTGTGTGTGTGTGTGTGTGTGTGTGTGTGTGTGTGTGTATGTGTGTGATTCTCCTCATTTCTGGGAAAGTCAGATAAGCAACTGTGTTTCATCCTGCCGAGATACGAGTGTCTTTATTCCACTTTGATATGTGAAGGAGCTGTGTCCAAACCAACGACTTCCTGTACGTTTTATTTTTAAATATTTACATATGTAATTTTTGGCTTACATTTTTAAAGCTTATTTTTTTTTTTAATATGCAATGTAGTCACATGGTTGAAAGCTAAAAAAGTTATCTAACTGGCCACCAGGGGGAACAGGAAGTGCCACCCAGTGGTAGAGCACTTGATCTGCTTTGGATGGTTGTATGAGAGCCTGGGTTTGATCCCCAGCACTGCAAAAACAAAATGTAACTAAAACTGCAGATAGAATTCCTCCCACTTCTGTCCTTCACATGTGCATTTTTTTATCCCCAGAAGGATAAATATTACTATATTTTTTGCTTGTGCTAAGTTTTGTTGTTGTTGTTTATTTTTTCCGTTTGGTTTTGGTGCTGGGGATTGGATTTAATGTAAGTCCTCCTGCACTGTGAGCACCCCTGAGCTGCATCCCTGGCCCCATCACAGAACTTTCCTAGACATTTACAAGCAAATACGTGTATTCTGTGCTTTTTAAATCTAATAGCACACATTATGCACCATTATGTACTTTGTATTTCAACATCATAGAATTCTTTATTAGAACCTAAAGGGTACTTTCAGCATTGGTGCATGCGAAGTATTCGGTAGCGTGGCTGTATGATGCGTTCTTTTACCATTTCTCTAAAAATGAAAATTTAAACTGTTCCAATTTCTAACAGTTTCAAAAATGGTACAATGTATAGCCTCATATATTATTCTCAGAGGTATTAGCGTATTTGGATAAACTTTTGGGTGTACAATTACAGAGTATGCATTTTAATATTTAAGAATAGCCTGTCAATATTTATCATTTCATTATGCAAGTACAGATATAGCAAAGTGGAGAATGCATTCTCCAGGAGACTTTGTGAGAACTCTCCCAAAGAGTTCTGGTCATATTAAAATTTTTGTTTGCCTGTTATATTTGGTGATCAGAGTTGTGCCCTGCTGAAGCCTCTAAATGACATTAAAGTTTCTGCTTCAAAATGAATGACAGATATTTGGGTTTTGTAGGAGCTGATGACCATTTTCCAACTACTGCACTGGAATGGAAGTCTAAAGGCTCTTCGTGAAACAAAGTGTTCTCGACAGGTGAGGTTTTCCAATCAAGACCAGTTTTGTGTTGTAGGAACTAAGGAGATGACTGATCATCTTCCTAAGAGATTTTTTTTAATTTGGATTCTCTCTTGCGCTCTTTTGAGCAGAGGGCAACTGAAGAACTATATGTAGCGGAGCAGTTGAGTCAGAGACTGGCCAAGTATATGCACTCAGAACGTTGGCGCAGGACTCATTTAAACACCTGTACCGAGTGCAGGATGGAGCTATCCCTCAGGCAGAGCAGGGGGAAGCTGAGAAAGCTTGTAAAACCTGCTCCTTGAAGATGGACAGTTTTGGTTGTGGCAGAAAGGTATTTCCCACTACATCAAAAGTCCCCAGGGGGCGACAGAAATGATTTGAAGTTGGACAACATGGCCCTCTATCACCTCAATTGCTTGATTCAGATGTTTTTCTTATTTTTGAGACACAAGGTCTTACTATTTCTATACTATGTACGGGGAACACAATTCACTGCTTTTTAAATAACAAATGTAAAATCTTTCCTGTATATTTAGTAGTCTCACCTGCTCTCTTCCAAGATTTGCTTTTTCTATACCCACCAATTTGAAGGATGCTAGTTTATTTTTGAGAATTTCCAGGATTCTGTGTGAGGAACAAAGCCTCTTAGCAAGATGAGGTGAATGTGAGAGTTTTCCATACATTGCAGTCCCGGGAGTTTTAAGTTGTTCTTTGCTTAGAAAGTTTGGCTTTCAAAATGTCAGAGATGGAAAAGAAATGAGTTGCTGACAATGGCTTTGGCTATTTTTTTTTTTTTCTTTGATTTTAAAAAAGCCCTTTGAAATATGTCGGGTTGGTTATAAACACTTTTCCATGATTGGTTTTAATTTGTTAAGGTCATAAATAAATACCATATGTTCTTCAAAATAAAAATAAGCAATGCATCCACTCCACATGACCAAACCTGCATTTGACAGTATGATGTATTGATAATTTTTTTCACAGAAGAAATAAAAGTTGTGGTTACTTTTTAATTTTTGGCAAAAGTAAGAAAACGTGCATCATGAAGGTGATACCAACAACAATGTCTACATTCTATAATACATCTTAAAGTTATTTCTCTGGTTGTAGTAAGCCATTTGGACTGGCATCTCCCTGATTCTACCAGCACAGCAGCTGGGAAGTTGACCCTCCTGGCTTCTAAATCTTGTTCTGAAGCCCCTGGACTGCAGACTTTCTGCGTTCTATGATAAGTGTGACCAAACCCATTTTGCCCAAATTCCTTTGCTAAGTATTTTCCTTTTTCTATCCTTTCAAAAGAAATAATGCTGGGCAGAAGAATCCCATGAATAAATGACATAGTATTCACAGCAATCATTTTAAGGATATATATTTTTTAAAAGGCTTGGGTTGTCTGGAGACTTCCTAGCTGTGTCCTTGTTTGCATTTTTCTCATGATCAGTGGTGTGTTTTGACACAGCCTGGAGGACTTGCTTTGCTCATCGTTTCTGTTAAAACCGTGGGTCAGTGGGATTCGGTTAGAGTTTGTGAACATCAGAGCTTTGGCTGTGGTGGTGCGGGAGGAAGCGTGGAAAGGCCCGTGCACAGTTGCCTCTTTGCCCTTCCTGACTCTGACTCTTGTTTGTTGGCTCCTCAGGAAGTCATCTCCTATTATTCCCAGTATTCCCTAGATGAAAAGATGCGCAGCCACATGGCCCTCGACTGGATCATGAAGGAGCGGGAATCGCCGGGAATTCTCTCCCAGGAGCTACGAATGGCCCTGAGGCAGCTGGAGGAAGCCAGGAAAGCAGGCCAAGAACTGCGATTTTACAAAGAAAAGAAAGAAATCCTGAGCTTGGCCCTGACTCAGATCTACAGTGACCCTGACCCTTCCTCGCCCAGTGATGACCAGCTGAGCCTCACGGCCCTGTGTGGCTATCACTAACAAGGCCAGGTCTCAGGTCCCCGGCTGGGAGGCTGACCTGAGGAGGCTGTTGGAAGGAGGTCCTCAGAGGCGACCTGAAGCTGCACCAACCCCCAGACCCAGGCATGCATCCACTCTCAGAATGTGAGCGCCACAGGACTCTACCAAATCCCACTTCCCACTCCGCCCATCCCACCTTCAGCTGAACCATCTCAGGATGAAAACAGGATTATCTGTACGCAGTTTTCAGGCTGGCTCCTCTTAAGAGCCTAACTGATATGGTGATGTTTCCAAGAATGGGCCACTATGACACCCGCCTTCCCCCAAAAAAACCCATCCTCCAGGACTAAGAGAAGTAGCATGATAACAAATTTTAAGTACATAAGATTAAATAAACAACATGAATGTTTAAAAATATATATAACAGTCAGAGTCTTGTTCCAATTTTTGAAAGCTAAGTGATCGTTTATACTCAGGTATAATCCAAGGCGATTCTCACTAGCAAAGCTCTACAGTGGCAGTAGTATGACTGTCTTACATAAATTAAATTTGGATAAAAATTCTATGCCATAATGTTTCTAAAACACATTCTTCCCTAATAAGGGTAAATATTACCTAGAATATAAATCTGTATAACTCCTCAAGAAGAATTAATGTCCAGTTTCTGTGAGTCTTGCAGTTAATCATGTTCATTTTTAATTTGCAAATACATAACTTGAATTAATTTGCCTTTATTTTTGCCATTGAAGACATACATCTAGAATGGAGAAAATTAATCATATTTTAAAGATTAAAATATTTCAAAAAAAGAATTAGCATATAACAGAGTGCTTGCTTTTGATTGATTTCACAGAGATTAGACAGGGAGTCTATAACTGTTTGTTTTTCAAGATCATAAGAAATCAATGGCTCAACTGAATATCATTGTTAAATTTAAACCCTTGGAATTTTCTTTAAAGGTGGGATAGGACATTGCCATGTCTGATCTATCACTATCAATCAACTGATTAGAAAATCAAAATCAAATTTAACAATGACATTAATGTTAATTTTCAGTACTCATGGGTGTTTCCATATCTATGACATGAAAAAGATTACTCTGAGTTTAGTCCAATAATTTGAATTTTAAACAGTTTTCTCAATTTTAAAAAGTTTCAGCTGAGTTTGGTGGCACATGCCTATAATCTCAGCACTCTGGAAAGGCTGAGGCAGGAGGATCACAAATCCAAGCCCAGTCTGATCCATTTAGTAATTTAGTGAGACCTTGACACAGGGGAAAGAAAAAGTTAAAAGGATGGGTATGTAAACCAATATGTGACGGTCTTGGTTTAAATTGACAGTAGTGAAAAAAGGTTTGTTTTTCTTCATGTTTATGCAAATACAACTTTTCTAAAAGCTAAAATATAATTATACTGAAGCTAATGAGATATTTTAACCTCTTATCTAACTATGAACAAATATTATTGCCACTCCTTAAACCTTTATGGAAACTATTATCTGCTGATCACATATTTTGGAATTAGTCTTGACAATGAAAATTCATTGTGCATAACATTTCTTAGACCAGGAGAACATTTAACATTTAATGACCTTACATTAATATCTTGAAAATCAATTCCGGACAGTGTATGTGAATTACACAAGCATCTGTGATGCTGATCCAGAGAAAAGCAGTGCTGAGGAGCACGGAGGTTATACTTTTCCCTTTTTCTGTATCTTTCTCAATAGCAAAAGGTGATAAAGGGACTTAGAGTGAAGGATTCTCTAAGTATGCAGAGATTTGAACCTAATTTTAATTGTACACTTTATGAGGCTAAAATATTTTATTTTGTAAGCTTTAAACCATCTCCTAGAAAAATAGAATAAAACATGTTCATTCAAAATTGAACACATTCAGAGGGTATATGAGCAATCAAAATCCATAGATTGTCCTAGAGCCCTTGGCCCCTATGTTAGAACTCAATTTCCAATACATCAGACAGTCTTGTAAATTTCACAACAAAGATCCAGTGTTGCTCAGCTATAGCCAATAGACTCCATGATGGATGTATAAGATGACGCTGTATTTGACAAGCCAAACATACCACATTGTTATGAAAAAGCATTTTAGACAAACTCATAACTCTATTTGGAAGAATGTATCAGAATATTACAGATTTAATAAAACCGTTGTCCTCTAAGTTCAGCATTCTGTTGTCCATTGGGTTGAAAAGCTGTAGTTCATTTGTACTGTTGCTGCTAAATTCATTCACTTATTTTTAACAGTGGAAAAGAATCAAACCCTTAGACATTCCTGAAATGCTGTACCTATTCTCAACTATGAATATAGTCACTTAGATGTCTAGACAAATACAAAGAAAAAAAAATAAAAGTTTATTTTTATTCTTTCAGGAAAGCATTTGTAGCCAAAAGTATTGTTTACCTATATATAGTTGAGATGCTGAGAATTCTGAGTTTTATTGTGCCTTGCTTTGCTTTATAGTCTAGGGAAAAAGAGCCCAGACTAACAAGCTGTTATCCTTGACTATGGTGACAAGTAAACACTAGTCAGGATACTCTCTCCTGTTCTTTGTTTTGCCATGTATAAATACAAAATTAACATCTCTTCTATTATGAAACTTATAGTGAACTTCCCACAGTTAGTATTTGGATGGCTTCTAGACAGAGCTTCAGGAAAACAAAACTCCTTTTCTGCATGGTTCTTAATTTTGGCTATACTCAAGGAACTTTTGAAAATCCTAAAACAGTACCTAGACCAAGGAAATCAGATTTATTGAAAGTGTGGTCTAGGCATCAATATTTTTTAAATCTTTCCAGATAGTTGTAAAAGTCAAAAACACTACTATACCCAGGATGTGCTGGCCTAGGGTCAAAGGCCTCACCAGAAGAACTATTACTCTTGCTTGACCTTGGCCCCAAACTCAGATGGGGAGCTTGGGGGCCTAGCTATGATTCAATCCTGCTGTTTGAACTGGAAGTTTCACCTAAAACTCAGAACTCAAATATATGCACACACACACACAAACACATACACACACACACACACACACACACACACACACACACACATACCATCTTCGCCAGAGAGCCACGTTCTGATCCAGGTTTGAGGCCTTATTTCTCTAATACAACACAGGAAACATTGAAACATCTGCACCAAAGTCAACTGGGGTCCTTGTTTTTAAAACTGGACTACATCCCAGTCTTACTAAGCACATTCTGCCGAATGGATCTAGACTATTTACCTCTTCCTCACATGTTTCTGGTCACATTTCACTTTGACATCTCCTGGCCTAAATTTTGCCAAAATATCCTATACTACACAGCACAACACTGGCCTCAGGGAGATGACACATGAAGGACGACCCCTTCTGGAGCTGGAGAGAAGCAGAGAGGGTGAGGAGTAACGCAGGCCTCTTCCCTCCCACAATAGCTTCCAATCTTGGATCACCTTGGCTCCAACATTCAGTATTATTTTAACTGCTCTCCTAGACAGCATGATTATCTCTATTAGCTAGCTCATGGTGAAAATCACTACTTTAAATTGATCTAGACCTGAGTAACAATTTTCCTCTGGCAGCCAAGTGGAGGGTGGGAAAGCAAGCCATACTCTCTTTCTGCGATTTGTTGATTTCCTAACAATTTGTAAATCCTTACATAAAGTGAGTCCAACACTAAGGGTGCATTTAGCTTTGAGGATTAAGGACATGAGTGATGATGAGTTTCTCAGACCAGGCTATATAAACTACTGGGTACCTAAAAGTTTGATCTATGAGAACTCACATGGCTCTAGATTATGCATGGGCTGGGAAAAGTAGATTGAGGTGTAGCAGTTGGTCTAGGGCTCCATAAAGAATACAACTGTCTGGGCTGCATTCCTCAGCTCCAGGTTAGTTGTTCCAATTGCATTTTCTTTTCTCTTTGTCCTCCATAGATTAGCTTGACAGTGCCCACCCACTGTTCCCAAAATGTTCAACCCTGCCACCCACTGTTTCTTCTGATCATGGTTCGTTCCTGCCTTTCCTATACATCCTGGGGAAATGTCTATGAATCATGACCTCTGGAAACAGGAATGCTTGCAACCACTAAATCTCTCCACAGAGGCTATTTTCTCTAGGACCTGGAGACACAGGTGTGTGAGCCAGGACTGGTGGACAGGTGGCCATGGCACCCGACACTTCACACTCATGTAGATCACTGAGAGTTACTTGGTTCTCTAGCTTTATGTTTGCCTTCACGTGACATTGTCTCACTCAGACTGCTGCTAGTTACACCATCAATCAGCCAATGGCTCCGGGCCAGTCTGGCTCAGGTCTACAAACGGAACTGACCAGGGTCTTCCTCGGGGTTGTGAACTAATAAACACGAACAATGTGCCATTATGAGCTGGAAGTGGAAGTGGGAAGAGTATCTGCAGGTTGCAGTGATGAGAAGAGAGAAACCGTGAGTCAGTAAGGAAAGCTGGCCAGTGAGAGGCTGGCTGGTACTGAAAACAGATGCAGAGAAAGGCAGAGACTCAAGGAGAAGGTGAATGTACGAGGCCCAGGCACCTGCAACAACTTTTTCATTCTTTTCACAAGCAGGTCACACAGCTTTCCCTCAAAGAAATCCCATCTTACTCATTTTGGGTCAAAACTACATTAGATTGCTTGGAACTTTTCATTCGAAGAATAGATCACAAAAGCTGACCCAATAAGGACGGTCATTTTGGTGATAGAAATGCCACTGAGAAAACTAAATCTTGGACTAATAGCAGGGTTTGCATGACCCCGTTCACTGCTCCTCACACCCACGGAAGGTTTTCCACTGTCAGGAATCCTTCTTGATTTGGAAATAGATGTAGGCATCGTGTCCTAATCATCCTGTCCCTGCTCCCCCATGTGGAAATTCCTGCGTTCTCATATTCCACAGAACACAGGGCTACATAGGGGAAATAGAATTCTATTTTCCAAAAGACAGAATATATAACCTCAAATATTTGTTATCTTTTTCAAAAACTAGTCACCTGGGGAAATGAAGCACATGCTCCGACCTTGACCAAGAGTACCGTTTTTTGTTTTTTTTTTAAATTTTATTTAAGGAGAAAAAGAAAACAAAAACAGAAAAAGGGTACAAGTTATACAGAATTTCAGAAAGAATAAACAGTAGGAAATCACTAGTTAATAGATTACATATTGTTATCTTAGAATTAGTTGTTCAAGTTACAAAATTAAAGCATATAAAGTGGATTTTCAAACAGTGAGACTGCAAACAATTTTGTTCAATGATCCAACAAAACTCAGTAATATGGTTATCTATCTTATACACTTAAATATATATGCAGTTATATCCTTTAGAGCACTTTCTTTTCCTTTCTTTTGTACAATGACAATTACACATTTTGGATTTTATTACTCCCACAGTTCTTATTACTTTTTTTTTGAAGAGAGTAAAACCAAATGTGACATAACAGAACAGAATCAGTCAAATCAAAAGGATGAACATCATAGATAATGTAAAAACAAAATATAAGGTGATCAACAATGGTTACCATACTGCCTCTTGCTATCTTAAAAAGAATTGCCTATATCATCAGTTATAATAAAATTGAGCAAAACAGTAAAGAATAAAACCAAAACATTGGAGACATTACAGAACTTTAAAAGAAGATAATAGTCAACCAGAATGGACGTCATAATGAATCTTATAGTCTTCACAGTTGTTGCCTATACTCTCGAACTTGGTACTATCAAGCAAAGCAGAATAGGGGAAAATCAGTCAAAACAAGATGGTGAGGGCCGTTTTTGCCAAAGCTCTTCTGGTACTGTGTGAGCAAAGGAAGCCTTCTGTGTGCATGAGCAGGGAAAGACAAGCAGGTCCTTTGAAAGCGCCTTGGCACTCTGAAACATCATGCTCCTGTCAGCCTTTCAACTGCAGGTAGCCAGCAAATGTTCTTCAAGCAGAATTTTGTCATAAACACCTTGGTGCCTTCTGTATTCCCTGCTTGATGAGTTTATTCATTCACAAAACCTGGCTCTGTCCTACTGAATTAATCAGGGCTCACTTGGTTGTCAGTAGAAGCCCAAATCAAAAAGTGAGCTAAATGACTCATGACATACACACAAAAGCCCCAGACAGCTTTGGCTTCAAAAACTAGACGGAGACATTTCCTTCTAACAGTTCCAACACGAGCTCCAGAAGTTTGTGCCATTGCGGTGCCCTTTGTCATGTGTCCATTTCTGAATAGATGGCTGTAGTCAGCTGCATATTACTTGCCTGTCCTTCTGGAGCTAGTGGCCAGCTCAGCTGCCTAAATAACTAGACAGTGGAGCAGGAGGAGAAACTCACAGGAAAGGATGGTTTCAGACACCAGAGGGGAAGTGGTTATTTTCCAAGACATTTAAAAAACTATCTTCTCCAAAGTCTTTAAAGACAGAATAAACAATAGAAGAAATGTGTTCTTTCCAAGCAGGAATTGGAAGAAACATTTCTGGGTAGACAAAAACAACAGATGTAGGCTATGAATATATTGTACCATTCCCCAAATCAAATCCATTCTTAAAGGACAAACTGTCAAGGATGTTCAAAAGAACAATCTCCCCAGAGGAGAGATCTAAAAATACTTCCAGACCAATCACACCAGAACAAGCAGACAGGTTCCCCAGGGACTCCTGAAGGGGACAGTGCTCATTTGTATGTGAGAGTTCTGCTGCGTGGAGAACCCTAATCACTCACATTACTCTGCAGTCACACTTCATATATCTTCACAGCTGATGAATTGGCATTATGCAAGCGAGTCGGGGAATTTCTCGTGCTCTATTTCTGATGGGCCCTGGCTTTCATTACCAGTGGTGGCTAACACTCCATAATAGAAAGGAAAACAGTTTATTCCAACAAGGGAAAACAATTGTAGCCAAATTGTTCAATAGCCTGGGTAGCTTACTTATCCCTACTCCATTCTGAGTGACTTTCAAAAACAGTATGGCTCTCCATTGACCCATAAGTTGTGACTCAAGTCGTCATAAAATGATTATGGAAAGAATTTATTCTGGGGCAGCTCATTGTGTTTTTCCAGATAGGCCCAGGCTTCCATGCAGTAATTTGTAAGATGATTCTAGGAATAAAGAGTTCTTGGGGATTGTGGGTTTCCATATGGACGCTTTCAAAACTCAGGTGATCCAGTGAAATTCCAGACTGTCAG